TTTAGTGTCGCACCCGTTACAATGGAAATACCCTATAGATTAGGGTGCTTTTTTTCACGAATATTTTTATTTTTTCGCTCCCCACTCACAATCTTGTTGAAAATGTTCAAAAAAAAATTCCTTGAAAATTTGAGCCTCTCCCTCTATATCTCAGCCGCATTTTATGCTATTTTATATAAATATTGTTCTAAAAAGGGATTTACTTGTAATCAAAAGTTCTACAAAAATGCTTTATGTGCCATACTGCCTTGCTTAATGAAAACGCCGTAACCAACATTTTTTGATTTTCGGCCTATAGCATTTTTTTACTATAAAAATTCATCCTGCATCCATTCTTACTACTCAAGAAGTCGTATCTACCTTTATATGTCTTTTTCTGTAAAAATAATAGATCCAGGATGAAATGCCCAGGTAGCACAACGTAACGAAATCTTGACGTAAACGAAACGTTTTCAGTCAGTCGTGACTTGGACGTTATTTAAAAATCGTAACGTATTTAATTAAAAACAGTTGCCAAACCGCGCTAAATTTAAGCATAGTTTTTGTAACGAATACGTTACATTAATATGAATAAAAATCTTCACGATGTAGTTAAGAATACGCCACGGATTCTTCACGATGATTTGTCACGGTTTCGTCACGACGCTTCGTTACCGAATAGTGAACTGAACTGGTCACGTAATTGTGGCGTATAGTTGCATTATTTGGGGGTGTAATAATATTGTGCAGTGTAATGCAGTGCAGTACGGTATAGTGGGTTGTTTTGTGTATTGTGGAATTATTGCTTACCTTCAAAGTTTTGTAATTTGATTTCAACCTCATCATCAGGTTGAAATCAAATTACAAAACTTTGAAGGTAATTACCTTAAGCAATAATTCCACAATACACAAAACAACCCACTATACCGTACTGCACTGCATTACACTACACAACACAGCAAACGAAAAATTATAGAAGTGTATAGGATGACTCCGCGTTTGAATATCAAATCTTAAAGTTTTATCATAACTGTATTGAATCGTGCTTTGTTTTTATATTTTTCGGCTCTATACCTATGCACGACTATATTTAAAGTCAAACTCAATGGTGTCTTACAAGATACATTATTTTGATTTTCTATATTCAACAGAGGAGTAGAAACTCGACCCTGTCGAATGGTGCAGTCATATATGTCTCTAGAAATTATTAAAAAAGGGTTCAGTCCAATGGTGCAGCAACTTCGGATTCCTATTCTCCTCAGAGACATAGAAACTCAAGCTTTTCGAATTTTACTGGCAATTATTTTCGTTAATGTCCCCGAGAATTATACAAAAACAGCGCAATGCAATATCGCAACGGTTTCGACTTCTCTTTACTCTACCAAGTTATAGAAACTGGAGTCTCTCTAATACTGTTCTAGTCAATATTTCTGAGAGTATAAAAAGAGGGTGTAATATTGCAAGAAGTTTTGATCTTTTGATGGATGAATTTTCTCATTTCTCCATATGATTTTGTTGAAAATAGTTCCTTTCTTTGGTTCCTTTGTCTGATTTTTATTTACCGTAACAACTCAGGTATGTAAAGCACAGAGGATATGATGTTAAGTATATTTATGTATTATATAAAGTACCTATATTTGTATTAAAAATTTAAGAGGTTATGTTGAAAAATGATCGATATGCTATTAAACTTTAATAATTTAAACTAATTAGTAATTAGGTCTGTTGGTAGACCCTGCACTATCTCCACTGGTATATGTTAATTTTGTAATATTTAAATCTGGTTGATGAAAAAGTACACACCAGTGCAGGTTATTGTAGCATCTACGAACAAATGAATTAATGGCCCATTGGCAATTATTCCTTTAGGAAAAATATTCAACACAGCTTAATTAATTAATAAAATGAAAAAAAACACAATCCTGTCGTATATAGTTTTTTTTAAGCATAAAATAATTTTTATATTAATACTAGTTCAAAAGTGAAATTACGACCTCTATACTGTGGAGAGTATTGAAACGCTCGACTGACGAATACAACTCTATACCGTAGGGAGATTTAGAAATCGATATTCAAACGTGGCGTCATCCTATACACCTCTATAATTTTTCGTTTGCTGTGAATATTATTACATCCCCAAATAATAACATATTGTTGTTAGGATTGTTTAGTTTTGCAATGTTAATGCAAAGAAAGCACATTTAACTGAATTATATTTTATTAGAAAAACAATAAAAACATATTCTACAATAAACTATAATAATATATATTATATGTATATATATATAGAAAAACACTAACAAAATATTCCTCTTATAAAATAAAAATACCTCCACTTTTGAAAACCAGCAATAATTGCAATTAGTTTTCAAATTTCATATCTTTGAAAAAAAAATTAAATTATTTTTCTATTTTAAGGATAAAACAGTACACAAAAATATAATTCTCCTGTAGAATAAAACACTATTTTATTAGAATATACCTAATATAAAAAACAGTATAACAAAATAAACAAGTAGGTATACTCTATTTCTCTTATAAATTAAAAAATGAAATGAATGAAGTCAATTAATAATTCATCTAGTATAAAATTTTTATTTTATTTCTGCAGTTTAACTGCAACATTTATTTATAATAAACATTTATTTATAATAAACTTACTTAAATAACACTAGGGTTCAGCTGAAGTACAAACCTGTGATTTCATCTTATCATATGTATGCTGGAAGGCATACATAATGTGCTTTTCAACGTCATCCTTTGTAATATTTCTTTCCCCCGAGCCAACCCAAGACAATTGTGTTTGCCATCAATGTCTTTTAGTCTAAAGTTTTCGTTCGTCCCTATAGGATATATCCAGTTGTGTGGAGTGTGTCGACTGTAAAACAGTCTATGTTATGTTGGTTACCAATTTTTTAATTTTAACTGACCTGCAAAATGATCATAAGAAATAAGCAGTTTTCTCCATGGCTTTGTTAAAATTTATTTCACGTACAAAAAAATGTATTTTTTCCTCTTTCAGTAGAAATTCAACTTAAAATACTTAAGCTATAATAATAAATTTGTTAAGGATATATATATTAACACACTAAAAATGTTGTGGTTACTTATATTTTGTTGCTACAGCAAAACATTTCTTAGATTAGAGTGTGGAGTTGTTTAGCATTGCAGACAATTGTCTTAAGCTACTGAAATATAGAAAAGCAAAAGTACTTACGGTTTTAAACTATCCTTTTGTTTACCATTAAAAACTTTGCAGAAATATAGAAAAACCTACAGAAACCAATGGCTTGGGTCGTTACCAAACATTCAAAATGGAGATCCTACTTTATCTCTGATGATGATGGAGATGCACAGAACCTATGACTATTGGCGACTGCGCATTGGTGTCACGACTTTACGTGATGTTTTCGTGACGATTTGTATAAATATTTTGTAACGTTTTTGTAACGAGCTGCACGTCAAGAATTTTATACCAAAATTTAAAGTAAAATTATCACTATTTCGTGTGACTAACGACTTTATGAAAAAATTCGTCACGTATTTTCATAGACCCCTCGTCACGAATTTGGCGTCACGCAATTTATTTACTTTTTATTAAAATTTCCTTAATCGTAACGAAATATTGTCTCGTTTTCGTCACTTCTAATTTTTAATGTCACGTTGTGCTACCTGGGTGTTCTATAGTAAAAAAATGCCATAGGCCGAAAATCAAAAAATGTTGGTTACGGAGTTTTCATTAAGCAAGGCAGCATAGCTGTATTCTGCACCTGTAGGATGGTATAGGTCATTAAATCTAATTTTAGTGAAAAATTCTTATATTTTTGAAGATATTTTAAAAGTGACTGGATTAATCGAGAAAATGTAAGGGACAAACTTGTAGAAAATTTAATTTTCTTTAAAAAAGGTTTTATCAATTGAATCGCTAAGATTGATATTTGTTGAGATATAAAGCGTTTACATTGACAATTTATGAAATTTTCAGGATTTTCGTACAAATTTTTTTATAAATTATGATTTTCAATTGTTTATCAGTACAATTTCATGTAATTACGTTTTTTCTACAGTCGGGTAGAGAAAAATAAATAACTAAAACAATCAAGCATAATTATTAATAACATAACTTTAAAGAGAAAAGATATATCTAACCTAAAAATTGATATAACGAGGTGTACACCAGGGGCGTAGCTACCACGGTATCAGCCGTATCAATGATACGGGGCCCCCGGCCTGGCTTCGACATGCGTAAGCAAAAAAAAATATTACCCACATTGAGGCATGAAATTAAATAAATAATATTATTATTTACGTGTTTATCCTTCGATTTATTAAATTAAAATTTTCCTGAATAGCCTCCTGTTCCAACGAGGCCGTGAACTCATACGAATTGTTTCTGCCATCACCTTTCCGCTATGCGTTATCTGCGGCGCAGTCTGCGCATATGCATATTGTTCTGTGCAAATTAGAAATAATTATTAGCGTTACAATTATTTTAAATGACTTGCCTTTATTTTAAAATAGAAACCTTTATTTAATTTTTAAATATTTCCCTTTAATTTTATTTTTATTCTTTTCTCCTTCCGCTCGTACAATAAGAATATTTTTTTCGAATTTCGGTTCTAAAATCTTTATACAGGATGAAATTATCTTCAAAAATGCCCATTTAAGCAAGTCTGTAAGTTGAATATGTTCTTCACAAATTGTCGTTTTACTCGAAAATCTTCTAAAATAGCAGTAAATCGTATTTGGAGACTAAACTATTGATTTGTAAATAACAATTTTGTAGGGAATTTTTTGCCCTACAAATTTGCTAGAAATATCACTCATAGTTTAGCTTGTACAGCCACTCTTTCATGTAACTCTAATAGTATAGTTGTTACAGTCATCAGAAACTGATAAAGATGCTTCTGTAAATACAAGTGCTTACCTGTTGATTTTGATAATAAAGTTAATTATAATCCACCTACCCATACAGTAAAAAATGTATAATTGTAAAATATATCCAAATAAAATAAAACAAAAAAAAAAAATAAAAAAGTTTTATTTATAATACATAGTTCAATACAAATATTTATATCCACACATGGAAGTTAAAATTTAAAAAAATAATATTACTTTTAACATGTAAATTTATACCTAAAATATTTAATGATATAAAAAAAGTTAATTATTGAGAATTATGCTAACATCAGTCTTCAGAATCAGGGGCCCTGATTCAGGGTCTGGCAAATTGTTTACTTTCAATTCCGACTGGTAGATGTATTTTAGTTGTGAGGGCATGTGGGCTTTTTCAATTAAACCCGATCGTTCTCATAGCTTTTAACTTGAAGGAGTGATGTGTCTTATGTTGCTACAACAACAAACTTGGCTTGTTGCTTAATCTAAAACAAATATAAAGAAAACGTGAAAATAAAATTAAAAAATAAAATAATACCTTTGCTTTTTGTTTGGTGCCTTGAGAGATAGATGTATAAAAATAGAGATAGATAATTCAAATAACAACAACTTAAGATTTCCACAGGGTAACGATAGAAGTGTAGTCTTTTAAGTCTTGAAACACAACACATCGTATTGACATAGTTTTTATCTGTAATTGTTTATCTCTCACAATTTATGCAATGATAATGCAAAAAAACAAATTCAATTTGGTACACATTGCGTAAAGAATGTATTAGTCTATCAGGGTGACCCAGGGGCGGACCGTTGACTTTGGGGGCCCTGGGCTAAAACTCTGATGATTAATAATAAAAAAACAAGAAAAAATAACTCTTATTTTTAATAAAATAAATGAATAACATAAATAAAATAAATAATATAAATAAAACATTCCAGCATTTATACTGGGTGTCCCGAGAATAAATAAAAGTTATACCTAATCATTTTAGTCCATTAATCCGTTAACTAGTTATATAATTTCAAAATAAAAAAATTAATGTACCTACTTAATTTAAAAGTAAAATCGCGATTACCAACCAATAATATTTGATATTTTAACAGGCAAATAAGGCTATTAAATTTTACAGAAAAAAAATAAAATTTTTAGAGAATTAAAATAAAGTAAAATCGAGATTAGCTATCAATAATATTAATGGGTGATATTTTAACAGACTCAAAAGGCTATTTAATTTTATAGAAAAAAATAAAAATTTTAGAGAATTTAAATAAAGTTTATTATTTTATGATAAATTTACCCGTTAAAAATTATTTAAGACTAAGACAAATTCATAGAATTGTTCCAAAATGTTGACAATGATCATATATTTTTTGTAGGTCATTTTATTTTCTATAAAAATATGTCATCATTTTTTTAATGTTTTATTTATGATTTACTGGTTTAACCAGTATAAATACAAATATTTTTTGCAATAAAATTTATGTTTTTCTTGAAATTAATTTGTATTTTAATCAGAATTATTAATTTGTAAAATCAGTAAGTGTAGTTTTAAAATTATAAAATTACACAATTTTTTGAAAAATAAAATAATCTACCAAAGTCCTATAACTTTTTGCTATAAGTCTGATAGTTTTAGCGGAAAAGTGAGAAAAACTTGAAAATTTACCATAAATGTATTTTTAATCTTTTCAAGCTTAAGCTTGAATAACATTTATAAAAAATAATAAGAGACCTCTTTGTAGAGCGTTTACTTTAAATAATTTATTAAAATTATATTTTTAAAATATATATATTGTTTTCATTTAAGTCCATTATTCCGTTAAAAAGATATATAAATCCCAAGTTAATTTTTTTTACATGAGAAATAGATAATCTCCTCTTAATAATATTATTAAGAGCTGAAATTTTAACAGGCTCAATATTTTACCTCTAGGCAACTATTAAATAGTTGATTTTTTAATCAGTCTGATTTATATTAAAAAAATATATTTGGAGGCGGGATGTTCCCAGATAGCACAAAGAAGTACTAAAAACGTCCTGAGTATATCTTGTATCAGACATTAGTAAGTTCCGAGTACGTCCGAATCAGGTCCTGAACCTTCCCCAGAACGTTCCAGGGACATCCGATGTTACAAAATCGTCGGTCCCCAGAACGTCCTAAAGAAGACATCCTCTGGCCATCCTGAAATGCTTTATTGGGGACTAATGGACAAGCTTTACAGAATTGAAGAGTGGTATTCCCAAAGGCACAGACAGCAATATGACGTCTTAATTAAGTCTTATTTTATTAATTTATTAAATGGATTTTATTAAAATCATTTTAATAATTTGCTCGTATTCGCTTATTTTAGGAATTGCGATTACTTCGTCTCACTTTTGTTTAAATTTAAGCGTGCTCTTCACCGGCACCGATAGACGGCCTGTTTCCCTCGTTTGGAGCTCGTCACTATCGGGTAGCCGATTCCTAGGTCTAAGACCGTTTGGTATGAAGCACGCTCTAAATTCTACTACGCCGCTTCTTATATCAAACACAAGCAGTTACAGCGGTGAGAAGAAAGAATCGCATTAAAATGTCATAAATGTGACGTCTTCATGTTGACGTCTTAAAGAGTTAATAATATGATTTCAGTAAGAAGTAAGAAAAGAGAATACTGTAAGATATCATATAACTAAAGTCTTATTTATGATACATACCCTTAGTAGCTTCTAATTTTGATTCCAATAAGAGGTCAGAAAAAAAGATACTTTAAATTTACTTCTTATTTATGAATTCATCAAAAACTCTTAATCTTGAGCTCCTAAAAATGATTTCTCTAAGATGTCATATTGTGACCTCAGTTAGATGTTTTTCAACAGACTTCGTACAGAAATCTTTCTAAATTGGATGCTGTCTGGGGGGTCTAAGTTACAAAAATAAAATTGTGAGTTATCAATGAAAAACAAATATTTTGCATATGTAAAGGTTGAAATGTCTGAAACACGTTTGGAATTGCATATTCCGCTCTCCTGAAACCGTCAAACTCGCCTTCAGCTCGTGTGACAAACTCTTCACTCGAGCAGATATGCTGTATTCCAAACTTGTTACAGAATATACTATTAAGTCATTCTGCATGACACAAACTATTTTTAAATGATAATATATTATTTAACCAACTTGGCACTTAGACCCTTTGGAAATACAATGCTTCAATTACGTCCTTGGGACGTACCCAGTATATCCGCTATAATTTTCCCAAATAAGTAAGAGACTGGACGTACCCAAAACTTCCGATATAGGTCTAGGACGTTCGGACCTATGTGGGACCTGAAATGGACGTCCTGGGTACCTCTTGTGCTATCTGGGTTCATCATCATTTCAGGGGGGTGCAAAAAGGCAACGATGGTCTCCACCGCCAATAGGCATAGAGGAAGAAATTAAACATGAATATTATGAGGCATGATGACAGCTACGAAAAATATTTAAAATGGATAGTAAAACTCCCACCCCAGTTTGTTATGTATATAAAGTCAGATCACCCTTTTTACTTCAAAACATGTTTAAATTATTATGGTGTGGTAGCAACATATTGTAGGTGTACAGTAGACTGGGCCAAAAAAATCAACTATTTTTTTTTAAGTATATCGAAAATATGGTTTGGGGCGACAAAAAAAAATTATTGTGAAAGTTTGAGTCCATAATATTAATATTAAGAGGTCTATCATCGCAATTTTATTTTTTTTCCCTCATCAAGTTTTTGTCTCAGAACTCCCAAACCATTGAGTTTAACAAAATTGACTTAAATATATTTTTTAAAGAAAATTAAATGCTCTACAAAAAAGGTTAAATGAATTAGTCAGATGAACCGTTTCCTTAAAATCATGCCCTAAACATTGGTATAGTTTTACATTTTGATCTTTTAACTTTGGAATTTTAAAATTCATGTAAAAATCAGTCCCATAAAAAAACCGATAAATATTCTTTTGTGAAATCAAATGCTTTACAAAAAAAGCCTCTTAACATTTTTGGCTAAATTCACTCCATCAAAAGTTATTCAAGGTTAAATTTGACAAGAATTACGTTTTGACTTCAACTTTAACCTTGAACAATTTACAGGTGGTAAATAGTTTTTTAATAAAGACAATAGATGGCAACTTTGACAACCGTTGGAATCAACGTATTGTGCTTTTGTTTGAATTTGTTTATATTTTTTTTTGTTCAGCGTCGCCTGTTTATTCCAATATATATACAGGGTGTCTCAAAAGTCAAGGACAGCAGAAAAGGGTAAATAGAGAATGGGATTCTAAGCCGAATGGAATTTGCCGTTTTTCGATCAGACGCACCATTAATTAGTTATTAATAAAATAAAGTAGCCAATCACAGGCGTGTTTTAGCAGACTGATTAGAGGTGGGAGGACTATAATGTGCAGCGTAATCTTAGAAATTCTGTATAAAATCGTTGTGTATAATTACCTTAATTATATGGTTGACACTGTCACTGTCACTGTCAGTGTTTTAGATTTTAGGTTAGTTTTACCCAGAGAACCAAGGTTTTACTTTACTTTTACTCATTAACATGAATGTTTTTTATTGTTATGTTATATGTTAGCTACTTTAAATTTGTCGCTGACGAGGACGTCGTAGGCAGGTTGAATTTAATTGTTAAAGCAGCCTTCCATAGAAATAATACTAGTATTATTTCTATGCAGCCTTCAGATGAAGTGTGTTCTAAAATAACGCGCACTGGACGTGCAGGTGTTGGGGTATCTAAAACAAAAATCGTGCAAGCCATTCACTGTAATACATCTGAATTTTAGTACTTCAGATGCTGGATGAACTTGATGCTAAGCAAGAAGGTAAAATATGATTGTTCAATGAATTTCAAAAGTAGAATTTCAACAGAGAATCTTTAGGCAGCAATTCATAATAGAAAACAAAGTAAGTAAGAGATGATGATGATTAGCAGAAAACCCAAGACTAGGAAAAAAAATTTCTTTTATTTCCGTGATTTTTTTCAATTAATTTTTGTATACATATTTTACTTTTATTTATATCGATTATTTCTTAAATAAACTTTTTTTTCAAATAATTTTTGTGTTTAAATATTTTACTTTTATTTATATCGATTATTTCTAAAATAAATTTTTTTATAAATATTTTTTATTAAGACGTTTACTAAATTTTGTTGTATTTTTTGCATTTAAATAATAATGACTAATATTTCTTCAATATTTAGTTCATTTAGCAAAAATATTCATTCAATATTTTCAATATATTTTTGTGTTATGTGGGTATGGCTCTCTGGGTAACTAAAGGCATTCTTTTTTTTAGGGAAACTTGGTGGCCCTAAGAAGGGCCGTTTTTTAAATAGTCTTCGGTCCTTTATCTCATGAGATGCTCAAAGGTTCCTCCATTTCTCTGCAAGCACATTTCACAACGCACATACAGGTATTTCTAAGATCTGGGCGGCCAAAATGCCTGTTATCAAAGTTTGAATGACATCGTTAAAA